ATTAACCTTTCACAGGACTTGGCACTCCCAAGCTGTAATGTGCTTCAAGGGAAAAGATATACAAGCAACAGAAACAAAAATAATAGTATAACAGGCTCCAAGTTTTTCTGGCTCTCCAGGAAAATTCTGTTTTGAAAGATTTGCCCTTTGATTTAAAGTGTAGTCAACTGCATTTGGATACAGGAATGTGGTTGCCTTGCAGTACAAAAGAGAAATCTTGGCAGATGGGCTTTAGCTGATTGCGTAGAGAAACCTTCTTTGCTCAGACCCTTGAACTAAGTTCATAAAAATAATTAATTCCCCTTCTGTAAATGGTTGGTACTCTATGAATGGAATCTGTGCTTCCCATTTAATTGTCTGATGCAAGGTCTAATGCTAGGATTAATACTGTGGGATGGTTGACCACTGGCATGAAAATRCATTGGTTACAAACTTAAGCACTCTATAATCAGGGAGATCATCAATAAAACAACTTTACTTCAGTGGACCAGGAGTACAAAAATGGCTACTGAACTAACACTAGTCCAGTTACAAATGTTTAGTACTCACTCTGCTAAAAAAAAGAAAAATACAACTGCAAAGCCTTTCACAGAATCACAGAGCGATTTGGGTTGGAGGAGAACTTTAAAGCCCATCTAATAGCAATGAGCATCTTCAACTAGACCAGGTTGCTCAGAGTCTTGTCYAACCTGACCTTGAATGTTTCCGGGGACGGGGCATTTATCACTTCTCTGTGCAACCTGTTTCAGTGTTTTACCCTCATTGCAGAAAACTTTTTCCTTACATCTAATCTAAGTTGACCCTCTTTTACTTTAAAACCACGACCCCCTGTCCTATCACAACAGGCACTGCTAAGAATTTTGTTTCCACTTTCTTATGAGCCCCTTTGCCACAATCTGGTTTCCATGGAGCCTTTCCTTCTCCAGGCTGAACAACCCCAGCTTTCTCCTCGTGTCTTCATAGGAGTGGTGCTCTACCCCTCTTATTATCTTTGCATCCCTTCTCTGGACTTGCTCCAAGGGGTTCATGTCTTTGCTGTGCTGATGAGGTCTCCAAAGCTGGGTGGGGCCTCACCAGAGCAGAGCAGAGCAGAGCAGAGGGGCAGATAAGCTCCTCTGACCTGCTGCCCACACTGCTTTTGAAGCATTTTATGGTATATGCTATGCCATGATATTATCTTAATGAGTCATACAGGATGGAAGTGGAATTAAAAGTAATTAGCTGTAATTTTGTCTCATGTGGCAATATGGAGAATGCAAAATGCATTTAGTGTTGTTCTCCAGAGAACCTACCTAACTAAATTCCAGTGAGAAATTATTCTTTGAGTCGTGTTTTCTACCATCGGTTGTCAAGGTAACAACCTTGTTAGACATGGAATACAACCATTTGKTTTTTTTCTTCAAAGGGAAAGCCAACAGGCTTGCTCAGAACATTTTCAGATGGCTTGTAGTGTCTAAGACTGTGGCCTGTGTTTTATGCCACGGGCTTAGGTGACTCTACAGTAAAACACAGCGGTGGCCAGCAAAGTGGCCACTCACCCCTGCTGCTGTCCTCGTCTGAGTGTCTGTAATTAGCACGAGAGGCTCCAAAGATGCAGAGAATTGACATCTTTGGCCATTCCATGTGCCACCAGCGGATGGTGTCACCAACTCTTGAGGGCACACAGGCGGTGCTGGCATTGGGGTGCAGCCMCAGGGAGCGGCTGGGAGCCCACAGAGCGCTGCTGGGTGGGCATCCCTGCTGGGTGTGGAGGGCTCTTCCACAGAAATCAGCACTTCTTCATCACACAGAAKGTATTTATAACGTTGCTATTTGTTCCCCTAGGTTGGAGCTGCCAATCTGACATTACTTAATAAAGCAGCTTGGGAGTTCTACCAACCACAGTTCAATTTGCATGAGCATCCCCAGGACCAGACTCCCATTTTCCCATTGCCTTGTCCCTCTGCCTCCCAGAAAGTGAGTCCACATAATGCCTGGCTTATTAAACAGTATTTTCAGTTAACATATAAACAAAGATAAAGCAAATACACCAATTTTAATTTCTAAGCTCCCAAATCAGTAGATAATTACCCAGCTGATACACTTCAGCAGTTCACATCCTGCAATTAAACTATGTGGGTGAAGATCCAAATCTAGGAGTGTTTTGGTGTTCTCTAGTTCAGCTAGCTTCATTCTCAGGTTTCATTTCAAGGTTTAGCACCTGATGACACATTCCCTTTTAATTAATTCCTTAAGCCATCACTATCTGGAGGAAGAAAGAAAATCAGCCAATAATTAAATTAAATCAATGCTACATGGAAGTGGCTTTGCAGAAGAGGAAAGGAGCARCATTGCTTGGTTTGGTGTGCATTTTAGATCTCCTGATGGACAAGCAACTCTGCCTTCCACAGCACCCAGCTTTTCCTTCACAYAATCACAGARTAAACTAGGCTGGAAAKGGCAATTTCCTCACTTCACACCTGGTTTTCTTGCTGCTGGCTAATTTAGGTTCTTCTTGGAGCACAACTGCAAAGCTAAGGATCATGTGGCAATGGTCAAGGCTTTGGTCATGAATAGGAGGTTGTAGCTACTRCAGAGAATGTGCACCTGAGGTGGGACAGGGCATCTCCCCATGTGGTGGGAGGAGATTGTTGAACAATCTCGATTAGCACAATTGGACATTCTCATCTGCTAAATAACAAAATGCCTCAAGCAAACACAAATGCACATAAATTCCTTTTATCACCATATTTTTCTGAAATAACATCACTGCACCTTAATTTCAACTTCAATTTATTTCACTTTATTCTGGTTTAGGCTGGGTTTTTTTTTTTAAGGTGAATTATATCTGCATTATTTTTTTAAGTAAGCTACTGCTATTTTAAATCAAGCYACATTTCCTTCAGTATTCTTAATTTTATAAATGGTGTGATCCAGAGCTTTCTATAAAGCAAAGTAAGTCTTAAATAATTCAAGTATTTATTTTCTGAAATACATCCATTTCCTGGAAGAATTTTTTGTCAATTTCATGCCTTCTTGGAAAGAAAATAAAACAGAGRAAAGTATTTTATTATTTTCTTCACAGTTTTATAAGAGCAGGAGAAAATGAGCAACAATAATAGCCTCTGTTCCACTGCACATATTAAGAAAAATCTGTAATTATGTAATTTGTCCTCTTTACATCCTTCCCATCTCAAATGAAGCTAAAAACAAAATTTAAAAGGGGACACATTTCTTATTCCAAATTGATGCAAAGAATGTTGTATTTGTTGTCAGTCTGAAGACTGCTTGGCTTCAGCTACCATTTCTCACAAAAAGTTTATGGCTTTAGCACAGACTAGGCAGGAATTTGTCCTTTCCCTGACTGGAGGACAGTTTAGCCCAAATCTTCAGCAGTTATGCCCTAAAGGCAGTGGACAAAGTGGCAACAGCACAACCCAGCTCTGAGAAAGGCTGGCACTGCCTGCAGGGAATGGACTGAACATGGTGCTGCTGYTCTTCCTGTAATGAGCTGTGACACAAAGAGGATGTAACATGGTGGCAATGACACCACAGTCTGCATGGGACATGTTCTTTTGATAAGGCCCCCCTGTTACTGTAAATGTAATTGGGAGCAAACTAACACTCTCATCCCTACAGACTTTCCCAGCTGTGTTGGTCAGAGAAACTTGGTGATGCACACCTTTACTTCACCTGATCCTACACCAAAACCCCCAGTGACACATCCAGRTGCTTCTTCCAGAAATGTGACTCCACCACCTTCCTGGGCAACTTTCTCCAGTGCTTAACCACTCTTTCAGTATCCAGTCTGAACYTCCCYTGGCTYGATTTAAGGCCATTTCTTCTCAAACTTTCAACTGGGACATAGCAGAAGAGACTGACCTTCACCTTGCTATAACCTCCCGTCAGATAAATATAGAGAGCCAAGAGCTGCTTCTCCAGACTAAAAATCCCAGCTCCCTCAGCCAGGACAGGTCCAATAATTCGCTAAGTGGCACTGATTTTCCAGGCCACAACCACTGATTTTTCAGGAGCAGGGAATCCAAATAGGAATTTGCTCCCCTCCTCKTTTAAGCAGCTCCCATGGAAAGGCTTCCTGGGCTTATGCTAATCAGAAACAATTAAACCARGTGTCATCCAGACCAGCCACAGGGTAAATCCAAGAAAAAGCAGGACACATCAGCATCATGCAGGGTCTGTACAGCATAAAACATTACTACAATCCAGAGCATTTACACAGAGCACACYTCAGTTCTTTATACCAATGGATGTCTCATATCTTGTGCAATGCATGTGAGGCTCTGAAACCCACATTTGGTTTAAAGACTTCTTCAAYTGTAGTAAGAAATAAATCAGTTTATAACTTTATGCTCCAAGTGATCCAAAGCCTAATTATTCTGAGGTATTTGCTAACAGAAATTCAAGTAAGATTCCAGTGATGCCAGTGGAGTTATGCTGCCCCTCAATGAACACAAGCAGAAAGATGAGCAGCCCATGGTATTTCACAGCAGACACAGAGACTCATACACCATCACACTTGCTCTATTATATAGCATACTACATCTGACCTCTAATGTCTRTTAACATGTATGACTACTTAGCTCCTGATGATTTTGGAAATCAAAGGTCAATGAAAAGCTTGGGTTTAGGTACTCTGTCACAAAAGATAGAACAGCAAACAACACATTTCCAAAATGTAAACTGATGTATTCAAATCCCGTGGGGTCTTCTGGTGTCCATCACCATCAGGTGTGTTCCAAATCCTTACTGTGCCCACAAGGAAGAGGAGGGCAAGAGGAAACAAATGCTGGTATTTGTTGAAATGTCTTCCTTTTCTAAGCAGATGTACCTTTTAGCATACCATTCATTATGTCATTATATCTCACCTCTATTTGGAAGCTCCACCAAGAACTATCAAAACCCCTAATATACTGCTGAATATAAACCAAGAGAAAAATACTTTCCTGCTAGAAATAACACAAATAATCAAAACTGAAAGATGACAAAACCACTGTACTTACTATATGTCGTGCTGCGAACACTCCATCAACTATTGCACAACAGAAGGCTGCCACCACACCAAAGCTGATAAACACGATGGAGGCCACCAGCTGAGAAGAGAAAAACAGACTGAGCAACGTTTTCAGTATAATTCTTCAAGTAAAACAATKACTCCAGTTTTTCTAGTATTCTTTAAAGATGGTTCCTGCTGCTGTAATTTGCTTCAGATCAGTGTCAGAATGACAGTCACCCACTAGTAAAAAGGCAGAAACACTTGATGCTGAATTGACAGACCATCAAAMCTATTAGAAATGTTTAAATCTTTCAAGAGAAAATTAGGTCAGCTGCAAGACTTAAATTCAATGATGATTTCTTCCAAATCAACCTAGAAAATAAAGCAGCAGTGCTTCTATAGGGACATGACAAAAAGTCATAATCCTGTTGGCTCACATAAATCTTCATTACTTTACTACATGGTAATATTTCACACCAGCAGATAAAGACATCCTGAGTAAGTTAAAAACTAGCCTGTGAACTATCAGAAATCTTTTATCATCCCAAATAGCTTATGCCACAACAAAATCAGAGATCCACAGCACTGCTACCTGGACACACAGGTCAAAGCAATATCACCCAGCGGGAGATAAGAGCTGTTGGTGAATTGGCAAAAAGTAMAATTTAAAAACAGAAGAATCCCAGTGCTTTCTGATATGCTCCTTTAATCTCTCATTAGCCCATGTCTCATGCAATCAGAGGCGAGTCAGCACTGCCACGGGGATTGCTGTGGAATTGGAATCCTCAGYATGGGGAGAAAAGGGGCACACAAAAGTGGCTGATGGTACTGGTTGAACTTGGGAACCTGCTGCAYTCCCCTGCATCTTGCAGAAAACCCAGGAAAGCACTGTTGGCTGCATCWGCCTTCAACCTCTGCTATCCTGTGACTCTCCTGTGTGGGAGGTCATGTCTCATGAATTCAGTTGTCTAAAGATCTTGACATGGAAYTAATCAGATGAAGAAGTCTATGGACTCMTATCACTGCAGAGCAGTGAGCTGTGCTGCCTGGTGGCAGCTGCATTTGCTACAGATCCTGATCTCTTTATTTGAAAAAGYAGCAGTGTTTAAAAGTTCTGATTAAGCCATTACTGTCTGATACCTCTATCTTGTTTTTCAAGTCATAGCAGTCAATCAAATAATTAGTGGGCCAAACCAGGTGTTTCTAAATTGCCTGAGCTCAAGATGAATTTACTGGAAGTTGACCTCAAGGTGGCTTTTCATTTCACACGTGAACAATTTATTGATGATCTACAATCCCCAAAMCAACGTGTCCCACTCATGGAGATAGCTTAAATCACCAAATGAGTGTGCTGGCCTTTCAGCTGAACCTTCTAGCCATAGGAGATGACAGATAAAGGTGCACAGTAAATCATCCTATAGACAGGAGCTCTGGAGTTGGCTTTGCACTCCTCAGTCATGTTGGAGATCATCTACCCTTCCAAGGAGTTGTTTGTGAGCCAGAGCCTGCTGTTCTTATCCATGGCTACCAGCAACTACCCCACTGAGCAGTCCCTTTAGAGGCAATACCATTTCTTGACTGAAATAATATTTATTATGATACCAAAGTTGCAGAATGTGACATTGAGAGGTTTTTATGACTTAAATCACCTTATACATGTATATTTGAATGATAAAAGCAATAATAATACATGAACACAACTAAAAAAAATTCCTTAAAATAAGATTACATATTCAAATCTCTCATTGCTTATAAAGAATGTGAGAAACACAAAAAAAAAGTATAAAATTAATTACTGCTGAAAATTTCCAAGACAACCAAATGAAGAGCTGTTGTAAATTCAAAAGCAAATTTTCCTGAGTAGTAGGCGATTGCTGGAGCTGTGYGTTCACAAGTCTAGGACTGTCTAGAAAGAAAAGCAATGCAGTTCATTKAAAGATAGAGAATGCTTGTTGACAGGTAAAAGAAATAGCACTTTAAAAAAAAATAAATACTGATCCATCTCATCATCTTATCTCTATTTTCAACAGCATTACGTTTTGTCAGAACAGCTATTCAATATTTATAGCAATATATTTGACCAGTTATTCAAGCAACTGTTTTGCTCTTGCTGTTCCATTGGTGAGCAGCCAGGTTTCTCTACAGCTGTTGACATCAGAACATGTTAACTGCTGGTTCTTGTATAGAATACACTAATTTGAATATTTACAAGAGAGCCACTAAACAATTATTAAACACTGAAAATTGTACTGTGTGAGCCTAACAATCGAACCCAAAAGGCATCTGTTTAACAGAGGGATTTTAGCAAATGGGAGAGCAATACAGCACACAGAATGAGAGACTTTTGTACACAGTATAAGCTGAAGAGCTGTAATCTACCGTCAGCCATGTCACAGAAATAGGAAAACACCCCAAAATGCAAAACTAGTGAAGGGCTAGACTGTTAAATTCTTGCACGCTGCCTTCTTTCAGAAAAGACATGCAATTTTTTTCCAGWATTTGTCTTGGACAACCTCCATCCTTCAGCAGCCACAAACCACCACTTCCTGCACTGTCACCCCCTGTCCAAGMGAGACTGGTGAAGGCAACAAGGGACACACAGTGGCCACAGATATCGGTCACAGACTCTTGTTCAGCTGCCAGAAATGCACCTGGCACAGGGAGTTGACTGCTATTTCTACCACAACAATTCCCATTTTTGGAGTTAAGAGCTGGCCACAGAGCAGACCCAAGAGGCCACCCCAGCTGCAGCCACACTCTCAGGTAAACCCTGCCCACAAACTCTGCCCCCCAGCTCCCCAGGCACGCTGTGTGCTGAATCACACACTGCTGGTGCCATGTCCCTGCTGTGTGACACGCAGGGACCTGCAGACACACAGAAAATCACTTTGCTCCTCAGCATAAGCACACCCTGGCTCAGGCTGGCACCTCCCTGGCTGTTTCCAGTGTCCCTGTGGAATACATCTGGGAGCTAGCTTTGATTTTCCTATGTCCCTAAGATCCCAATTTAATACAGGCTTAAATAAATCTGCAGCATTTTTTTTCGATGGGGATGATGATGCAAGAGTAGAAGTTTACAGAAAGTCCTACCACAAATCCAAAACAAAGAATGATTTTCCACCCTGRTGCAACCAGGGAGCTGGAACACCCAATCTCAGCCAGGAGCTGCATCTGTTACTATGGTACCTCAGCAGGTCTGTAGATAATAGCCCACAAAACTAAGACAATTACACTCATTACATTGCATTGTATTTCAGAGGCTGCTGTCAACTAAGCACTGCCTGTCTTGTGAAATGGGTCTGTATATAAGTAYTTAATTGTGAGTTAATTTTCTCTAATTTGGAATGCCCTCTCCTGTGTGGCCCCTTCTCACACAACAGCCAATTYTTTTCCCTGCCCTTGGGACAGATGTTTTGCTGCTGTGATGAAAATGAAACATGGGTAAGACTCCTACAGTTTTCACAATTGAGCTAATTAGGAGGTTTCTCACTACAGCAGGTAATGAGTTCCACAATTTATGGCCTGACAACATATTCTTTCCAAAGGCTGGTTCTTAAATAATGGCAAGGCTGTAACTGAGGCTCTGCTGGAGGYTTGTCACACCACAGCAGATAGGATTACATCATGTTCATTATTCTTTAATGCCAACTCCAGTCATAGCTGTSCACTGGTTACAATGACAAGACTTCATAATGGTGAAAGACTTCCATGACTGCCCAAATTATGCATTCCAGTTCCTAAAGAAACCCCCCAACAAAAAAGCTGGAAGAGGGATTTTCATAAGGGCATGTAGTGAGAGGACAAGGGGGAATGGCTTCAAACTAAAAGAGGGAAGCTTTAGATTAGGTAATAGCAAGAAATTCCTTACTGTGAAGGTGGTGAGGCACTGGAACAGGTTKCCCAGAGAAGCTGTGGATGCCACATCTCYGGAACTGTCCAGGGCCARGTCRGATGGGGTTTGAGCAACTTGGMCTAACAGAAGGTATCCCTGTGCTTGACAAGGRAGTTGGAACGAGGTGATCTTCTCTTTAAGGGCCTTCCCAACACAAACCRTCCTGTGATTTTACGATTCTRTGTTGTCAGGTGTTTAGATTAAGTCTCATGCTCAGACCAAGTGACCAAGTTAGGAAACCTTAGCCTATTTSACAGTATAATGACTACTGAATTCAGCAAGTCCAATCATACATTGTTCAATATTATCAGCAACAACAAAGACCTTTGATTTAGATTTTCTTCCCTCTTTCTGTTTTTAATAGCACCYCAAGGGCATGGACTTGAGCCTTGTGATTGCTTATTCTCAACTCAAAAAGCATCTTCCTCACCAATCCTTAGTTTGTTCCCTGCTGTCCAGCCCTTTCTCCTGCTCTGTCTCTGCATCCCAACTCCTGTGCTTACAGCAGCCAGTGAATTTCACTCCATCGGCAGAAACCACTTATTTCCTCAGATGAGTTAAATGACAAGACTGAAGAGAGAGATGAGCACTGGACTCAGTGCAAACGAGGTGAGACCATGTAGCCATGACAGAAGGGATGGAGGCAGAAGTGGTGACAGCAATGAAGAGATTGTTTCACCTGTTCCATGTAATTGACARTCCTAGGGATTATCAAAGTAAAAGCTAGGTTTTAGCTGTAATGAATAAATCATAAGGACTGGGGTTATTTTTTTGTTTGCGGTCAAGGAGGTTTTTGTTTTATTGCCTGTGAAGAAGTCTGCTGTTTCCCAATATTGTGTCAGGGATAATTAAGAAAAATAGCAACATGAAAAGGCCAGTTGGTGTAACACAGGCAGGAGAGAAGTCCCTTGAGGAATTTAAGCAACCTCACATACATAAAAAGGTTGAATTAATCAGACAAACAAAGGGGAAAATACAGAAACTACATGAGAAGCATTAATTATCATGCCAAAGAGAAAAACAAGATCAAAATCCATTTTCAAAATCWRGGTAGCAYTTTTATTTGGRAAATTTATSTTTTTTTCTKGCCCCACATCCTGAGGGGCAAAATTATGAAAGCCAGGATTTGCTATACCTTTTGTTACACCTTAGGTACTCACAGTTAATTTTTATCATATGTAGGCATCAGTAAAAAAGCAGTCAGA